TCTATATATAATTTTATGAANGTTACGGATATATTTTTCATTAATAATTATTCAAATAGTACAATGCAGAGTGATACATACGTTTGAGTAATATTACTGAAAAAGATATTCGACATATCATACAAAAATTTATTAGTTTCAAAATATTTTATTCATAGTCCAATGCAATGTATGCAACGTGTTAAATAGTAAATCACGTTAAATAACATATCTAACCTTTAGAAGACATAATAAAAACATTTGATATATATATAATATTGCTACTTGAAATGCAATGCAATATTACTATAATATTTTATTATTATATGTAAATGTAATATGTCGATAATATTATTATAATATTATATTATAATATCTAATATTACTAATATATTGCAATTTTACTGTGATACTGCAGTAATATTACGTGCTATATGGGTCCCTATCTCCCGAAAAAACGATTCTTGTTTATTTTACTAAAAAGGAAATAACTCCGGGTGTCTGCTCTATTAAGGTAGGGGAGCACATCATTAGATCTAGTACCATAGTCAAGTTCTTGGGTATTCGTTTTGACTATCAGCTTAAATTTACCGAACACATTGAGTATATCCGTCATACTTGTTTCAAAAAATTGAATATACTCAAACTCATATGTGGCATACGTTAAGCTGGTCCTCTTACACTTATAGTTTTATTTAAAAGTCTAATACGCTCAATAATTGATTATAATTGTTTTACCTATTTTCCTACTTCGAAACATTGTATGTTAAAAATCGAACGAATACAGTTTGCAGCTCTGCGGGTAGCTTTAAGCTACAGAATCAGCACCTCTACTAATATTTTATTAGGCGAATCCAAATGCCTGCTACTTCAAGACCGTGCTAAACTTCTATGTAACAAATTTCTCATTAAAAGCATGTCAACTAGAAGCAACGTAATGTAACACAGTGAACCGCCTCACATGTTCGCCGATCTGGTTGAAATGCGTAAATAGTTCCAATACTATACTTCTTCGCCAGATTGAAGCAATGCAAAGTTTCAGACATAACCTTAGACTGGAAAACAACTTCGCCCTTTATTTACATGATTATCAGTTTTCAATTGCCGAAACGGAAGTCAATACAGAGCTTGGTCATCTTCTTAAGACTTCTGATGATCCTAATGTCCTTTTTTTGCAACATCTGATCAAAAATCACGTAAATGAATGCGTTCGCTCGACTTGTTTTTCACTTGAATTGAACCTTTCTTCACTGATCTGCCTACACAAACATATGTCCTCCTTCACGGCGGAATGNATTGCAATCATCACCGCTCTTGAAACCGCTTTGAGATACTCTCAAGGCAGTACCTATATATATTCAGATTGTCTGAGTGCTCTTCTCAAAGCTTAAATAAGGGTTTTAGTAATATTAATTCTAACTTTCTTCTTTTTGATATTAGAAAACTCATAAATCACTTTATCTCTAGCTCTCGTAAACTCTTCTTTTTCTGGATTCCCATTCATAGTGCCTGTAACAAAAAAGTGGATATCTATGCAAAGGAGATAGCTCATTTAAGAACCTCTTGTAACATCTTGGTTCCTTCTTTCGATTTCTCATACATCTTTAGAAAACAGGCCAAAATTGAAACAGAAAGTCATCTGCTTGAAAAAGCTCAATTCAAGGAAACCAAGTTCTTTACATACTTCCACAATAGAAACTCCAAATCCTGGTTCTCTCATAAAAATCTTTCTAGAGACCTCCCCTAATAGGCACATTTGTGAAAATATTGCACAAAAATGGCATTATGAATGGCAACGATTTTGCAATGATTGCACTAAGATGATTCGCTATAACGCAACTGTTTTGTCGAAATAAAATTTTGTAAATAATATTTGTCACAAATTGCGAAAAAGTCGTTATACATTTTCACAATATATACCTCCAATAGGCAAATTGTGAAAATATTGCACAAATATGACATCATGAGTGACAACGATTTCTTGCATTTCTTCATATGCAATCATATTTCTACATATTTTAAACATCACATAGGGTAGATGTCCCAATTACTGCCACTTTAAGGCTATCGCGTAACTTTATTTTATTACATTAAGAGTTGTTTAATGTAAAAATGATTCCAGTTTAGTATATAATATTGCTTTTAACTTCTCTTTTATTGATAACAACTTTTTTATGTATTAAATATAAAAAATTAATTAATAATTGATTTAAAATACAATGAACTCTCCACTGACTCTATTACTGTCACCTTAAGTACATATAACTGCCACTAATATAACCGAATAACTGTCAGTACCATTAAATGTGACTCAATTATAGTCAGTCCTTTTCACTGAGACTTTATAATTGTCACTTTTTTATCCAAATCAGATTAATTGCTGCAAATTGAGTTTATAGGTAGTCGAAATTATCAATCGTATATTTTTATAAATAATTTATTTATATGCAAATGTAACAAATACAGTTTTAAAGTAAGTTATAAAGTCATAATTCTTGCTTAAAAAATTCGTAAGTTTCAAATGTTGAAACATTAAACTTAAAAATAAATTTTGCAATACAATTTGTTACATTTTTTGGTTAAATGTAAGACATAAAACTTTAAGTAGATAAGTTATAAATGAATACATTATTAAACTTTTAAATGTTGTAATAATAAATTTAAAAATAAATTTCTCAATACAATTGTTACATTTTTTTTTAAATGTAAGAAATAAAACTTTAAGTTAGTACGTCATAAATTAAAAAACTATTAAACTTTTAAATATTGAAACATGAAACTTAAAAGTAAATTTTGTGATACAATTAGTCTTTGGTTAATTATCAGTGTGTACTTGTCCATAAATTCTTCTTATGATTTTGTTGCGATTTTTTTTGCTGTCTTTGGTTTTTTTATTATTTTTTTCTTCTTTTTTTCTTCATCTTTCTCCTGTTTTAGTTTTTGTTTTTGCAATCGAATTTGTTTCTTAATCTTTTTTTCTTCTTCTTTTTTTATTTTTTAAAGCTCTTTTTCTAGTTTGTATTTTTTCCACTCATCACTAGTGATTACAGCGGGAATTGTTTCTGTCTGTCTTTTTCTTTTTTTAGAAGAGTTTTTTTCTATTTCTTTTTTTTGAAAAGTTTTGTTTGGCCAAAATAAAGTATCTTGGAATGTTGATATTGCGTGCAATTCACTGTCTTTATTAAACTTTTGATCTGTATTAAAAAAATCCGTAATGTCAGTAAGTGGCTTACACTGAATTAAAGATGTATTTTTATTTAAGATATCTACAGTATAGTTAGATACATTTTCGGACTCTTCTTTATCAAATATTTCGTCAAAAATAACATTTCCATATTCGTCTATAATGCAAACAGTATTTAAATCTATTTTTTGAAATTTATTTGGATCAAATAAGCTTAAATTGTTTTCTGGAACTTGGCTACTGCTTGGTTCTGTGTGAGTGATCAAATTATTGAAATTGTGTGCAATTGTTTCTTTTCTTACATCCATAGTAGTAGCAGCAGCATTTTCTTGCAACAAATTTGAACACAATTCTATTTGACTAGAACTTGCACAAACTTCTATACTATCTATAGATTGAGCTGAATCTTTAGATTTTAAATTTATTGTTATATTATTAACTATTTTAGATATTTTATACCATATTTTGAAAAGACTAGTATCTTCACTTTTACCATGTCATGTATCTGACTTTTGCCTTTTAAACTCTTGTAATGTGTCTGGCTCTATTTCTTTCTCTAAATATATTAAAAGTTCTTCATATTTTATATTTGTGTCCTGAATTGTATTTTCTAACTTTTTTTTATTAAAAATTTTATTAAAATCTAGTGCATCTATATTAAAAGGGTATAAGCCGCAAGCTCTAAAGCCATTTTTCAAAATTTCAGACAAATTTAAAGTTTCAAGAGTATATTTTAATAAGAAAGCAAAATCTTCTTTTCTGACACTTAATTGCTCATATTGATTACGATATTCATTTACTTTTTTTTCCAAGAACATTTTAAAGGCCCAAATAGAGCCACATCCATAGGCTGTAAAATGTGAGTAGAATTAGGCTTTAAAGCTATAACTTCAATTCCATTTGCAGAGCAAAAATAAGATAATGGCATAGTTAAATGTAAAGTATGTCCATCTAAGAATAATAATATTGGACGTGGTATATTGTTTTTTATTATCCGATTGTGGAATGTATTGGCTATGTACTCGAAAAATATTTCGCCTGTCATCCATCCGCTTTCTGAACGTCCAACTGCCCAGCCCTGTGGCAATTTTGTGTTAATATAACTTGGAATTCTCTTATATAATAGAATTATTAATGGTGGTGCCAATTGGCCAGTCGCATTCCCCATAATAAGTACACTTATAGATTCTTTTTCATTATTATCGACTATATTATATGCATTTTTGGTACCTTTTTCTATTAACACAGGTCCTCCTTTTGGGTTTAATAAAAAACAAGTTTCATCTCCATTAAAAATTCTTGATGGATCTATATTTGTAAGGTTTTTATCTTTTAAATAATTTAGAACTTCGTCAAACCATTTTCTTAATCCTGTCTCACTGATAATTGCACGACTGAATGTTAAATTTTCAGCAAGTCTTTGTGATACATTCTTGTGCCGACGCATAAAACCTTCGAACCAGTGTCGCCCTAGTCTATTATCCATAAATGAATTTTTTTGATTCAATTTTTTTACAAATAATTGCACGCTGTCTATCAAATTTGTCTTAGTTAAAGGAAATCCTTTCTTGCTACAGTGAAAAAGCCACTGAACTAATACATCTTCTTCCTCTTCCGTTAATATAGTTGCTGGTCCAGGTTTACCTTCAGAATATTTTTTATACTTTTTTGATACTAAAGTTGACCGAGGAATCCCAAACTTACTGGCAGCTACAGCAATTTTCATTCCTGAATTTATAGCTGTTAAAGCTAACTCAACATTTTCCTTGCTGTAGGAACAACGTTTCTGTGCATCTTTACTTCTCATTTTTATATCATTAACTTTTTTCCCGAATAGCTACATAAACAATAAAATAAAAAATGTATACAAAATATGAGTAACTATATATTACAAGAAATATATTTGCTAATTGAGCAAATAAATAAATTTATTACACTACGACGAACTTTTCACTCTTACTTCACATGTTAAATTTCAAGGTTGGAGTTACAGCTTTAACAAATGACAGTTATATGAACCTAATACCTTTTTTTGTTCCTATTACTGATGGCAATGATATGGACAAACCGAAGAATATTGTTCCTATTACTATCACCGTTAATTATTATAATTTAATAAGTGAATATCACTTATTTATTTGTTATATCTCTAAAATGATATTTAAACTATACTTTAACATTCATTTTATAATAGATATATAGATCAGATAAAAAAGTTATCATGTTTAGTAAGTGCAACTTTTTCATCATTTCTAGTTACGCAATCGCGTTTTTGAGACTCAAACTGTACTTTTACTTATTACTATTAATCTTTTACTACCAAGCACACACATATGTGTTATTATGTAAATCCAAGTACAAATTTAATAATAAAATTTATTATGAGTATGATTTTTTATACGATATATTTTTATAAATAAGACAAATGAAAGTGGCAGTTATTGGGACAGTGACAGTAATTGGGACATCTACCCTAGCTGAATTTCTTTTCTCAATTATTAAACAATTTCTTTGTGAAATTAATTTTGCAAATATACTGCTAAGATGATTTGCCATATTGTTATTTTTTTGCCGAAATAGTATTTGGAAAGTAATTTTACAAACAACTACAAATATTTCAGAAAAAATCAATGTTTTTACATCTATTTCCCAAAATATGTCTGTATAATTGCAAATTACAATTTTAGTGCAAGATCTCGTCACATAATTTTGTAAATGGTTTCCTATCAGGGTCATATGTTGGATTAATCGACTTTGAGGGAATCATTATCATTTGGCTTTCTCACTTTTCAGGGTTAATCTCATTGCTGATCCTAAATGTCAGTGTGGATATNCCGAGCAGGATATCAATCATGTATTGTGGCAATGCCCGATATTTGACAATTACAGAAATATATTGATTCATCAGCTTGATAAGAGGTGATTTTATCCTCCCCACACCATAGATGTTTTGTTGGCCAAACCATGTATAACGCCATTAATAATTATATATAAATATCTTAAAAGGCATAATCTACAGCTTTAACTTTTCATAATACTATAAATTACTTCTACTTGTATAATTCCATTGTTCTGAATATTAGTTATACGAATGTGCTAGTGTTAGTATTTACTCCACATACTATTGTAAACATATGTAACTATGTATTTATAATGTTTATATGTACAGCAATGTACAGATTGCTAATAATCCTGTAAAGGACTTACAGCGTAAATAAAAAAAAAAAAAAATATATATATATATATAAGGCCTTACGAGCCGTTTTCAGCGGAAACTGTACGTGTATATATATGCATATACATGTAACGAATTCAGCTTGTAAAGTTTTACAAGTGAGTATTTTTTTAATTGAAATCTCAATTCTTAAATTCATACGAGATGTTGAATTTGCATCTCACATATGAGAGACCCCGGATATCTCCCTAACTAATTTTTAAAATATTGCAAAAAACACTTCTCGGCCAGAAGTCGAACCTGGAATCTCCGGCTTTCCGTGCCATCGACTTCCCTGTTAGGCCACTGAGGCACTTGGAGTTAGTCTCGCAATATTCATACATATATCGAAGATGGTCTGATAATGTTGATAACGCTTATTTTTCACAATATTTTAAAAATTAGTTAGGAAGGTATCCGGGGTTTCTTATATGTGAGACGCAAATCCAGCATCCCTTATGAATTTAAGAATTGAGATTTCAATTCAAAAAATACTCACTTGTAAAAATTTACAAGTTGAACTCGTTACATGTGTATGTATTGTGACGTGCACTTCGCCTTAGGATCTTTTAGCGGTGGTACCGCACAACTTCGGCACGTTTATTCAGTCAAAACTCAAATTTTTACTCACCTAATTCGAAAGTTGGGCGCTAGGCGTGCTTTACACGCCGAACTCAGAAATCTCAATTTAAAAGACAAATCTCGACAAGAACGTGAACGTGACGGCAAGGTCACTCGGCAGCTCAGTTTTATTCAAATAACAGAGAGAAGTGGGCTCAGGAGGTAGTGTTTATTAAATAAGGGCAGAGAAACTTGCTCATTTAATAATAATAAGAAATATAAATTTAATGACAATATTTCATTGGAAAAGCCGGATATCGGCAGCACAAACAAAAGAAAGAAACAAAGAAAACAATACATACGGTAAAAGAGCGCGGTAAAAATGTTACATATGTCGATCATAGATTCTCGGCAAGATTTACAATTTCTTAGTTGATATTCGGCACAGTACAAAAATATGCTATTCAATCTCTCAGAATTACACGCGCTACGAGATTATAACGGACAAACGAGCGTGACGCAAACAACAAAAAAAAAGTAAAAATAAGACATACGCGAATAACGAGCAAAGATAAGCCCGGATTGTTGCGACCGCGACTGATCGGGACGAGAGCAGCGGCGAATAAAGATAATCATTCTTATTCTGAACAAACGCAAACCACAATACATTATATTTTCGGCATTATATCGCGCGACATCGAACTCGCGGAGTAGCCTGTCGAGATTCGATTCACAAACAATATAAATCGCGAGAGGTGTGGAAGAGAACCAACCACACTTACGTTTGCCGGCGACTCTCTACAAACCGATAACCATTCTGCTCTTCCTTTTGACATCGTCTTAGCCGGTCCTCTTCGGATGTTGGCCAGCACACAGTCTTACACCCCGGTATCACGACATGCGTGAGAGACGGTGAACTCGCGGAGTTGACGGTACGCGCAACAATGATTTCAGCTTCTACGGCGATTGCTCTTCTCGCTGTGCGCTGTTTTACGCGCTGTTTAATGAGCCAATCATATTCTTTCCTTTGCGGCGCTATGATTGACAGCGGTCACGTGTATATCAACGCGGCCCTTCTCTGGCCGTATCAGCCCGTTCTGCGGAATTTCCTTCGTAGATGAGCTTACTCGGGCTCATCTCCCTGCATCACGGGGTTGATAACTTCACAGGGAGCCCCGCTCCAGTTTTTGCGGAGTCGGAGAGCTAGCGTCTCCCGTTTTCTGGTCCGTCGTCGACATTATCGCCAAGCGCCCTGTGCCTATGAGACCCTTACGCTCCTGTATCGCTGTCTGTCTCTATCTACTNTCTTTCTCGCTTTTCTCCTGCCGGTCACGTACAGTGTGTTGCTCTCTTTACGCTGAAAATAAGTTACAAANTAGCCGCCGAGCGGCATATTACAATACGCAAAAATACAAACTCAAACCCAAAGTAAGCACATTCGTTTGCGCTACGCAATCTAATGAGCTGCTCTCCCTCAATAGTGAGGAAACGCGAGCTCACCGCCTCCTGTGCCGGCCGGAAATGCATCCTTGTGACGGACATAAAAAGTGTCACGTCACAGCATATATATATATATATATATATATATATATATACACTGTGACGTTTTTCGCGGTGGTAACGCAATTCTCGCGCCGCTCTCCCGCAAACGGAGATTACTTCCCGAGACTTAGGTGAGCGTCCGCGAGAGGACAACGTCCAATCACTGGCAGGACAGAAAAGACGGCCCGGAACGAGCACCGCCTGGTCGAGTCGACGAATACTTTGGTGTCGTTTTGGGCGCCAGACGCGTAATCGCGTCAAAAATCACCGTCACTTGACACAACGGGCCGACTAGCTCTTTTGGGAACGGAGAGGGGCTGGGTTGAGTAAAAATTCGGAATACAGGCTGTCCCTTGACCTCGCGATAGGAAGCTCAAATAAAGAAAAGAGAGTTGTAATTAATCAGCACGAATTAATAGTTAATTGACAGTTTATTACGCGTGTAGAAGGGCAAAAATAATATAAAAGAAATAATATAAGAAATAGTAGAAGGAAAAGATTGGTTACAAAGGGGTATGAAAGCGAAGATAACAGGAGTGATAATAAAGAAAAAAAAATATAAGAAATATGAAGCAGAGAGATGAATAAGCTACGGCNGTAGCATCCGAAAATAATACAAACAAAAGAAGACACGGAGTCCACGACGACTTACAATAATTAACAAATCGTGTCACGCGAGTTAACGAGACAAATTAATGAATTGAAACGACACCGCAAAAGTACGGGACGCGATACGGTACTCGAGGATTCCAGCCGAAAGATAACAAGCGCAGGCACTAAAATATAGCAATCGCGGGGCGCAAAGCTAGAGGCAGGCTAAACAGCTAGAGAGTGCAAGCAGATGTGCAGGGCAAACACTAAGCCGCAATAAAATAGCGTGCCGTCGCCTTTTACAAGCCGTGGATCAACCCGGACTTACTTGTTACGTTGAGGATCGCAATTTGGGTCGACTGGCTCACTCTGCCACTCAGCTTTCGCCGGTTTCGTGTCGCTAGGCCCAAAAATTTAAATCGAGCCGATTTCTTAATCTACGCGCATGCACTCGAAAGAAAATACTTGCGATACAGAGCAAAGGAGGTGCGACGTCGGAGTGGCTTTTCCCGTTTGTGTATCACAAAATGATTGGCAACGCTCTTTGTCTTGGCGCCAGGAAAATCGGCAACACGATACGTCACTCGACCGCGAATAATCCCGGACAACTTATACGCTCGAAAGGCGACACGCATTCACCGTACGCTCGCTAATAGTTCGGCGATAATTGTCCTGAAAATTTACCATCCGAAACTTTCGTTAATCCGCACGTTAATTCGGCACAATATTCATTACCGATCCACACACCGCTTCCGACTCGCACACACCTCACTCTAGCCGATCGCACGAGAAAAATCCGATTTCGTCTTGACGATTTCTTACCGCGGCGGCTGATTGCCGTCGGTAGACGAGATCCGACGGTACGCAAGCGATACGTTTCCACAATCACGGCACACGCA